AAGACGGTCTCTAACACGCCGAGGATCCCTGAAGCAGATCCAAGAGGAACTCATGACGGCCCAAGAGGCACCAGAGACGCTCCAATAGAGCCTCAAGAGAATCCTCCATAGGGCATCAAGTGGCAGAAATAATCCCACCAGCCCTCTGGGCGTCAGTGGTTTAGGGCGTTTCCTCTTCCACCACTCCCTCTTCCCCTTCGGGGAGGGGTTTACCCCTCCCCCTACCCCCTCCCCACTGACCTGGACGGGGGGGGCCGCGAGCGGTCAGAGCGTCCAAAACGGCCTCGGCGAGGAAGCCAAAATCATTGTTTTTACTATGGTTTGGGCCCCATTTTGGCCTTCTGAGGGGGCAGCGCTAATTAAAGCTCCCCTCTTCTTTGATCGATTTCCTCCACGATGGCCGCAAGAGGCCCCCAGGATGCCCCAGGAGGCCGCAGGATGGCCCCAAGATGGCCCCAAGAGGCCCCCCAAGAGGCCCCCAGGAGGCCCCCAAGAGACCCCCAAGAGGCCCCAAGAGACCCCCCAGAGGCACCCAAGGTGCTCCCAGAGGCCTCGGCGATAATGTCAAACCATTGTTTGCACTAAGGTTTTAGCCACATGTTGGCCTCTTGGGGGGGGCACTGATTAAGATGACTCCAAGAGCGCCTCGGAGAGCCCAAAATGACCTCCAAGATGGCTCAAGAAATCCCAAGATGTCTCATACTGGCTTCCTCTGTGTGCTGTCCACTTCCCTGATCGAGGCAATCCCACCAGCCCTCTGGGCGTCGGTGGTTTAAGGCGTTTCCTCTTCCACCCCTCCCTCTTTCCCTTCGGGGAGGGTTTACCCCTCCCCCTACCCCCTCCCCACTGACCTGGACGGGGGGGGCCGCGAGCGGTCAGAGCGTCCAAAACGGCCTCGGCGAGGAAGCCAAAATCATTGATTTTACTAAGATTTTGGCCCTATTTTGGCCTCCTGAGGGGGCAAAGATGGCCCCAAGAAGCGCCCAGGAGGCCCCCAAAGGCCCCAAGATGGCCCCAAGAGGCCCCAAGAGGCCCCCAGGAGGCCCTCAAGAGGATCCCGAACGGCCCACAGAGGCCCCCCCGAGACACCCAAGACGCCGAAAAGCCCCTCAGGACGACCCTCTACTCGCCTGGGCGTCGTTTCTGGACGGGCTGGTGGGGATACGCGAAGCGTCTAGAATTTACTCTGCTAAAAACTGTTCGCAAATTTTCGGGTTCTCACAGTTTCGGGTTTCCGAAAGCCCGGGATGGCCCAACAGGCCGCTAAGACTGGCCCAACACGGCCCGAGAGACTCCCAAGAGAACCCCGCGAGGGCCGAAGAGGGCCACAAGACGGCCCCAAGAAGCACGGCCCAAAAAGGCCCCAAGAGAGACTTCAGAGGGTGAACTCGAAGAAGCTCTGGAAGCCCACCCCCAAATGTGACCCCCCAAACCCGCAAACATCACATGAGACACTTAAGAGGCCAAAAAAATTGCCCCAGGTGTTTCAAGAGGGTTCTGAACATTCCCCAAATGAACCCACCAAGGCAACACAGCTTCAAGAGGCCTCAAAAAGATGCGCGATAACATTTCCCAGGGAGCCTCCTACGTTTTTCCCTGCCCTTCTGTTAACAACCTATACCATAAGCACAGAGACCACGAGGATATCCTAGGAGGTGCACCCAGAAACCCTAGGAGGCCACAAAAGACGTCGGCCACACGACCGGGACGCAACCGCACCCTTCAAAAACAAAGGCACGACTCTGCTCCTCCTGAGAGTCGGCGGAATCGAATAAGCCTCCTGAATATGAGCATAGCATCGCTGCACTGTCTCAAAACCTGCTTGGGCTGATCCTGGTTTAGCTTGACTGGCATTCCCATTTCTTTGTTCACACATGTTCCCTCACCCGATTGTCACGAAACCTCCCCTGGGTATCATGTATGGCTTGCCGGCGTGAAGAATTGCCGATGTCCCCACTGCCAAGCGCGCCCCACACACACACTCCCACACACACACACACACACTTCGGCAGCCCTGTGCGCAGCACTAGAGCAAAATGGTCGGGCGAGAGGCAGCGCGCGCGGGCTGGGCCAGCTCACGCAGCATGGAGATGCTGGATCCACCCACACACACAAACACACACACACACACACACAAACACACACACACACAGACACACAGACACACACATACACACACACACACACACACACACACACACACACACACACACACACACGCACGAGCGGCGCAGAAGGTCCTCAGGCGCGAGCAGCTGATTATTTCTGTTGGAGACGAGGGAGGAAGAGGCGAAGGTCGGGAGCGGCCAAGAGGGGGGTGTCCAAGAGGGGGGGGTGCAAATCATGACCGGCGGCATGTGCGCGGCCCAGCGGGGGGGCCAGGAACGAAATGAAATAAGAAGAGGCGCCATGAAATCTGGGGAAATATCATGGCCCACGCCATGATATCCACCCCCCCCTAGTCATTACCCCCCTCTGTTCCGCCCCCGAGAAGGGGAGACATCGCACACGCCTGATAATTGTCCAACTCGTGCCCGGGAATCGGCAGGCAACCCTGCCGCAGGACGGTCATCGCAGTTTCCTCCCGAGTGAGGTCTGCAGGAAACCAGGTGGCGACTGAGACGAATCCCACCAGCCCTCTGGGCGTAGGTGGTCTAGAGCAGATCCTCTTCCACCCCTCCCTCTTCCCCCTTGGGGAGGGGTTTACCCCTCCCCCTACCCCCTCCCCTGGACCTGGACGGGGGGGGCCGCGGGTAGTTAGAGCGTCCAAGATGGCCCAAGACGGCTCCAAGAGCGCCTCAGAGAACCCAAGATGAGCTCCAAGATGGCTCAAGATAGCGCAAGATCGCTCACGATGGCTCCTAAGATGGTTCCAAGAAGCCCAAAGACGGCCCCAAGATAACTCCAAGTGGCCAAACAGCTCCCCAAGGAGGCCCCGAAGAGGCCAAAATCGTCCCAAAACCTAAGGAAAATCAATGATTTTTGCTTTCTCGCCTTTTCGCTTCCGATGGCTATCCGAGGCCTGGAGATGGCTCCAAGATGGCCCAAGAGGGCCCCAAGAGAGCCCCAAAAGAGCCCCAAGACGGCCCCAAGAGCGCCCAAGAGCACTCCAAGAGCGTTCCAAGAGGGGTCCAAGAGGCGATTTTAGGGGCTTCCGAGGGGGGGCGCTAATTAAACCCCCCCTCTTGTTTGATCGACTCCCTCCAAGATGGCCCCAAAAGCGCCCCGAAGGCTCCCCAGAGCGCCTCAAGAGGGTCCCAAGAGGCGCCCAAGATGCCCCAAGGCGCCCAAAAAGCCCTCCAAGAGGCCCTCAAAAGACCCCCAAGAAGCTCCTTCCCCTCCTCCTCCTCCTCCTCCGATTCTTCCTCCTTCTCCGTCTCCTCCTCCTCCTCCTCCTCCTCCTCTTCCCCCTCCTCCTCCTCCTCCTCCTCCGACGACGACGACGACGACGACTCCTCTTCCATCCTCCCCCTCTCGGGGTCTGTGACAGCTTCCCCCGCCCTTTGTTATTCTGCATGCTCCCCGACTTCCCTGATCACCTTAACTCCCCTGAGCATCGTTTCTGGATGGGCTGGTGGGGATACGCGAAGCGTCAACAATTGCCCTCAAAACGAATCGGGCCGCAATTGCATACATTGTGTCTTACCGTCTTACCCACCGCCTGGCCCAGACAGCCACTGCCGTAAATCCAACACGATATAAGATAGAATGGGAGAGAGGAGGGAGGAGGAGAGACGAAGAGGGGGAGGAGGGGGAAGAGCACACAAGCTGGCAAGCATGAGGCTGCGCACCCGACTTCCCTCGGTCCGGGACAAGAGAGGCAGCCGCAGTGGAGGGGGGGGAGGAGGAGGGAAGGGAGGGGAGCAGAATAGGACGCCACGTGCCGAGGACAGCCAGGGGGACAAGCTGGCCGCACGACGATCGCCGGCGGCCAGCAGAAGAGGGCCGTGCGGGCACGTGGACCACGCCCTGGTCAGGGAGCGGTCGGCGAGACCGGGGAGCCCCCCGCCAGCCACCCCCGCGCGCCCCGGCGTGAACGCCGACTGCCGCACGGAGGGCGCGCTCGGCACCAACGATTGAGGAAGCAGGAGGGAGGACGAGGGCGAGGAGGAGGATCGCTCCAGCCGCACTCCAGCCAAGCGCCGTCTTCGGCCACGCGCCCTCCAAGCGGTCGCAGAGAAGGATTTGCCGTGAGGAGCGCACCCGAGCGTGCGGCGCGCAGCCGGAAGCCAGCAGCTCCCACACACCATTTGCGGCCGGGAGTGTGCAGATCAGATGCTGCTGCCTCGAAGATTAGCGACTGGCGCAGGCAGGCGGCCAGCCAACACCGAGCCAGACAGATCGTGCCCCCCCTGGCAGAAAACGACGGCACGCATGTGACGCTATCGGCCGCGCGGCGGGGACAACAAATGGCCCCAAAGGGATCCAAAATCGACGGGCTGGCACCCCCACACAAGCCGCCCGAGAGGGGACGAGGCGAAGGAGGAGAAGGAGGAGGAGGAGGAGGGGAGGGAGGGAAGGAAGTGCAAATATGTGTGCGTGTGTGTGTGTGAGCGCGAGTGTGTGCGGGTGTGTGTGTGTGTGAGCGCGTGTGCGCGATCGACACACACACTCACACACGCACGCACATTTCGGTCGTCGCGGGTGGGCGACTCGCCACACCGTCAGACGCGCCGCGCGGAGGACCGCGCGCGCCTTGTAGTCAGAAGAGAGGCATGTGAAAGGCGAGACGGCGGGCCACACACACACACACACACACACGCACACATTTTTTGTCAGCGGCTGGCTGGTCCAGCGCAGCGAAGTCTAAGGCGGGACACGCCTAGATCATGACCACCAGGCGTCGCAAATAGACACACACACACACACACACACTTCCCTTCGACGCACCCAAGAATCCAACCGGCGGGCAATGATACGGGTCACCATTAGCAACGCCCCACATGCTTTCGCGGCTCGGCCTGTCCACACATCACCCGATCCCAGCCCAGCCCATGGGCCCTGCAACTATTCTCGTGAGCGTAGCTCTAGCTTCCTTCGCGTCCTCGTAGTCGACAAACCAGGAGTTCACCCCATCCTTCCGAGGCTGCCGAGGAGCGCGGACCCGAGCCAACGTCAAGGGCCCCGACGCCGACGAACCCGACGTCCACGGCCACGCCCTCCTCCCGATCATCCTTCTCATCCCCCTCCCCCTCCCCTCGAATTTCTCCTCTCGGCGGCGAGCCCAGGGGGGAATACAGAGTGGGCGGGCCTTCAGAAGGACTGGAAGGCCTCGGGTCTTCTAAGAAGCTTGCTACGCGGGCTTCCGAAAGGCGCAAGGGCTTCCGAAAAACACAACCTCAAAGGCGCAAGGGCTTCCGAAAGGCCCCGCCGCTCCTGAGAAGGCCCCCATCCCCCATCTCACTTCCCCACCGCGGCGCGCACACCATCCTCCTCCGAGGGACACGTACCGCGGCCAAAATCGAGAGGCGAGAAGCAATGGAAAGCAAAGGGAGTAAGAAATCGGCAAAGCGCGGTGTCAATGGTGTCAACGGGCAGCAGAAAGAGGGCTGAGATTGCCTAAGGCAACGGAATCGAGTGGAGAAGGTGCTGCTGAGGACCTTGTGGTTCCTCGGTGTTGCTTCCGCACGCGCCTGTCTGCGATGCTACGTTGCAAGGCGGCTGATTGGAATGGGTGTACTGCGCAGTGGTGCCATGATGGCTTACCCACAACGCCTGCCAAAGCGCCCAAGTAGCTTGACAATGCAGCAGTTGAGTTCGCTATCCATACATGTGTGGACACCAGAATGAAACTAATGTCAACCCGAGGGAAGATATGTGCACTGATAGCAGACTGATGCTAAAGCTGAGGCGGCGGGCAACGACGGTGGCCCACAGCAAAAAATCGATCTCCTCCTCCTCCCTCCAGCCCCAAGGCAAGTTCCTGGATTCAGTGTGCTGAGATACGGCCGCCTCTTCCTCGACCCACCTCCTTGTGCACTCGCCACCCGCACAGATAACCCCCCGAGTTGCCACTCCAATCAGCGAAGCTCCCGTTGCTTAACTACTTGGCCCACCGAACGACACGGCACGCTTCGGCAAAGGCGCTCGCCGCGTGGATCGTGGGACTCTCAGGGGGTGGCGCCGGTGAGATCGAGTCCAGGACGAGTTGGATCGAACTTTGATATCAAAATCATAGCGCCGACCGGAATCCATCGGCCCCCCTCTGTGCATGAGTAATGTAAGGCGTTGAATATTCCAACCCACCTCTTCCCTCCCCATACCGTGCTCTCCGTCAGGACGGGGCGACCCGCGAAGCGTCAGCGTCCAAGACCGCCCATGACGGAGCCAGGATAGCCCAGGATAGCACAAGTTTGCCTTCCAACATGGCACAAAGCAAACCAAAAGGGCTCGATCTAGGCTCCAGCATGCCTCCAAGAGGCTCCAAGGCTGTCCTAGGACGGCTCCAAGTGTTCATGGAGCTCTCCAGGGAGAACCTGGAAAGCCGAAGCTATTTAAACACGAATGGTGTACAATAATATTGGCCTTCTCGCCGTGTCACGTCCGATGGGCATATGACTCTTCAAAACGCTCCCACACGCCCAAGAGAGCTCCAAGAGGGGCCCAGAAGGGCTCCAAGACGGCCCCAGTGGTTCGTGCTCCTGGGGGGTCGCTAATTCACGCCGCCTCCTTGCTGATCCGTGCCCTCCAAGATTGCCCAAAGAGGGCTCGAAATATTGCAAAGACCAAAAAAGTCTTTTGTATTACAAGCGAGCCCCGAATGCCTCCTCCCTCCTCCACCTCCTTCTCCACCTTCTCCTTCGCGTTCTGTTCCTTCGACGGCAGGCTCAGTAGTTGCACTCCAGGACATGCTCAGGCTTTTCCCGACCTTCGGCTCGATGGCTGCCTCACCTGGTTGTTAATCTACACGCTCCTGCACTTTCGTGATCGGGGCAGCTCGCCTGGCCATCGTTTCTGGATGGGCTGGCGGGAATAGACCACGCGTCAAGAAAATGTGGAGAAAGGATGCTGAGGGGCTGTGCTCAGGGCGGCTCTCGGCCAGAGTGTGGGGGACTCTACGCTGCTCCCGACAGTCAGACCAAACTGCGCGGCCGCCTTCACATACTCCAGGTGACCCTGTGCGGGCTGGACGGCCACTGGCGTTCCCGAGCAGAACGCCTCGATGACGGTGTTGCCTCGCAGCAGGGGGCAAAGAGGGCTCCTCCGAGCCGGAGATGCGGGGAACGGGGAGACCGAAGGCCTGGGTATGGGCTTGGACACGGATGCGGGGAAGCACAGCGTTGCCCCGCAGGCCCTCCCTACCCCGCTCACTCCCGGCCAATCGAAACACTGGGATTAAGTCGGGCGTGTCCCCTACAGGGGGATTTTGGGCGAAAAATGAAAAATACCTAAAAAAAAATCCAAAATGGTCAAAAAATACTCACTAGATCGTTCCCAGACTAATTTTTACTATTTTTGACTATTCCCCCTGTAGAGGGACAAGCCCGACTTAACACTGTGGCAGAAGATCCGCCACCGTGCCTTCAGCAGTCGAGTGCCCCAAGGCTCATACGGCTGTGTGTCGTAGTTGTCGGATTGTAGGATGCTCAAGCGCCCGGCTCCCCGTGTGCCAAAAAATCCTGGGCGGCGCCAGGTTCCTGGGCGCTCCTGGAGTATCGGCGCGCGCCAGGCGAGCTCCAGGGTAGCCAAAACGATTACGAGAGTACTCCAGGACAGGCCAAAGGTCCTCAGAGAGCCCCAAGAGCCTTCCCAAGAGAGCCCCGAGAGGCAAAAACCATTGGTTGTCATGTGGTGTTTCAATTTGCATCAGGTTCTCGCCTTTTCGAGCGACGTCCCAAAACAACTCAAGAGGCCACCAGGACTGCCTCAAGACGGCTCAAGAGACCCTAAAGAGGGCTCCAAGGCGGCCCAAGAGGGCTCCAAGACGGCCCACGAGGCGCGCAAGACTGCACAAGAGGGCCCCAAGACGACCCCAAGCAGGGCCCAAGAGGGTGAGCACGAACCGACAATTCGAGCCTTCCGCCCCAACAAGGCTTAGGAGGCCCCAAGAAGGCCAAAAGAGGCTCCCAAGATGCCTCCAAGAGGACCCCGAGAGGCAAAAACCATTGATTTTCCATAACTTGCTCAATGTTGTTTGGTTCTCGCCTTTTCGAGCTTCCAACGCTCCAAGACGGCCCGAGAAGCCCCCAAGACTCCCGAGGCGGCTCAAGAGGCCCCCAAGGGAGCTTCAAGACGGTCCAAGGGGGCTCCAAGACGGCCTAAGAGGCGCCCAAGACTGCCCAAGAGGGCCCCAAGACGGCCCCAAGAAGGGCCTAAGAGTGAGAGCACGAAGCAAGAATTCGAGCCTTCTGCCCCAAGAGGCCCCCGGCTACCACAAAGAATGCTGCGCTGGCACGGTGGCGGAATTGCCAGAGGCAGCTGGCTGGATATGTTCGATCTGAAATGCCTGCAACTGCGCGCAACGTGATGACGACGATGACAACGACGATGATGACATTGTATCCAGTACGTATGCTGCATCCACGCACCAGTTGACAGCGCCATCTCACACCCCCGCAAACTACCCAGAGAGTGTGAGCACTGGTGATGCGGGAAGATAAGTAAACTCGCGATGAACAGAAACCTACTCCGAGCACAACGGGAAGCGTTGCTGATTGAGCCCATGTTTGCTGATGCTGCCGATCGCCGCGCTTCGCGGCTGATTGATGCTGTTGGGCGTTGGTTGCTGCTGCTTGGTGCTGCGAGCTGTTGCTTGCTGCTGCATACTGCTGATTAATGTGTTCATTCCCACGCGCATTTCCTGATCCACTATTCCCTTGTCTTTGCGCTGCCTTCTCACTGTTCCTCCTCACTGCTCATGTTTGCTTCTCGCCCCTCCTTAGCCGCGCTCCTCTTTCGCATGTTCCTCATCGTGATTAATCATCTTGCTCCTCCTCCTCCAAAACCACCGTGGGGTGTACATAGATTTCGCGGGCCTGCACTCTTGTCAACCCGCCTGGCCGTTCTAAGCCGATGCCCGCGTCAACCCTCCTGGGCGCTTTAACCTGCCTGGACGTTTTAAAACGCCTGGCCGTGTTACCCCGACTCTATGCTGGCTCTCCTGAGCCCTCGTGGGCCTTCTTACACACCACTCGGAATCAGAGAGGCATGCTTCGGATACTCAATGTTGGGAGGATGTCTCACACAACACTTCCATTGTCGGATCCCCGTCGAGGCGTCCTGGACCATATTGGAAGAATCCTGGGGCGGTGAGGGTTCTATTCGGCCCTCCTGAGCCATCTTGGGTAATCTTAGGACCTTATTGAAGACTCAGAGGCAAGCTTTGAGAAACACCTCCTTCGAACTCCCCATTCCGGAGGGTGTCCCACGCGAAACTGCCAAGTTGGGACTTGAGGCCATCTCGGAGGCCTCATGGGGCCCGATTTCAGCTCTCTTGGAGCCCTCTTGGGTCAACACTGAAATACATAAGACCCGTCTTGAAATCCAAGAGGCAAGCTTCGAGAAAGAACCCCTTCGAAGACTCCATGTTACCATGATGTCTCATGCGAAACGTCCGCTTGGGGACTACACTCAAGGGGCGCCAGCTCGGCAATCGCAATCCGCTTCTCCACATCAAACTCCCCTCTTGACTTTACTGCAAAGCGAGGCTCAAGATCCCCGAATTGTAGACAGGGTCGTGCGATGATGAGGATGAGGATGACGATGGTGGTGATAGCTGGCGGGGCGCGCTGGCGAGTCGCAAGTGCTGTTGCGAACGACACTCAATAGTTGGTGTACGTTACGATTGTAGTGTGGTTGCGTGGGCTGCGGGCAACCCATCAGACTTGCGGGAGTGGAGGAGCGGAAGCAGGGAGCTCACGATGACAACGAATAGGGAGGAGTGGAGGACCAGGAGGAGCAGGAAGATGAAGACCGCGAAGAAGATGGATAGGGGGCCACATGCGAACCCTACCCCTACCCCCCTACGATTTCTGAGGGGGAGGGCTCGCATGTGGCCCCCTAATGGAGGAGGCAAGAGATCGAGACAGCTGAAGACGCCGAGGCGAAGGCCACTCAGGTCCCCCCTAGAGCAGACAAACAACATGAATATAAACATACGTAAACCTTAGGAGTGCTTCACCTGACAGCGCTGGACCCCCTCCCAAAGCCCCTTCCCTGGCGCGCGGAGCGCGCTGAGGGCGGCGCTGCAGGCGCCGTCAGGGGTGAGGAGGGGGGCCCAGCGCCGACCCAACAAATCCGCGCGGACCTTCGAAAGCTTATGTTCATGCACTTTGTGTTGTTCGACCCCTGGGCCTAGGGTCTCGAAGTTGGAGGCGGAGATGAAGAGATCGCACGCAGTGTAGGACTGCCGGAGCTCCACTGCGTTCAGCATCTCCCTCGCCCATTCGCTCCACTCCTCCTTTTCCTTCTCCTGCTCCTCGTCGTCTGCGTTGCTCCTGCTCCTTTCCGATCCTTCGGCGCGGGTTGAAGGAACACAAAGACTGCCAGTTCTATCTCGACTTGTTGTGGCTTACTCGCTTCAAATGCTGTGATCAGCTGACGCGGTCGCTTGCGACGAGGCTCCGCCTCCTTCTCCCCTTCAACCTCGTCCCCTGCCAACTTACCCTGAAGCCGCTCGGAACAGGAACAGAGTGAGGGCTCCGTCGCCTCCGAACATGCCAGAGCTGCTGATGGTTCCATGCCCTGTGCTGGTCCGAAGAGCACTGCGATTGCAGAAGACCCTCGCTATGCCCTCGATCCAATCGTTCCCTTCCCAGCCCCTCCTTTCGCAGCGCGAGGACGTTGGGTCGGCCGGATTCCGGCCCTCGCCAATGAGCAAGCCATAATAAGCAACAGGCGTACAAGAGCAGATTCTGTCGGCCCCCCGTCACCACCACCACCACCCTGGTCGCCTGCCACCCTGCTCCCTTCATCACCATCACCGTCGTCGTCATCACCACCGTCGTTATCGTCATCGTCGTTGTCATCGCCGTGGTCATCACCGCCACCACAAAATCAAGTATAATCATCGTCACGGTTGCCGACATCATCATACTAATATGCACGGGAAGAGTCCGCGCGTCATGGCGCCTGGTGGAGTGTGTGAACACGTTTCAATGAGTAAGTGCGCTCACGGCCTCTTGGATTTTACCAACACATTGCGGGTGGTTGAATAAGATTTCTGCTCGAGCATTGCGGTGTGCAAGCGTCGGGATCACGTTGTCGACTGCACCACCTGGATAGCACGCCATCGACTGCCTCGCATGCATCGCCCCCACAGCTTGCACCACACAGCTTGCACAACATAGCTTGCACAACATAGCTTGCGTAACATGTGAAAACCGAGATGTTGCTCCACATAAGATGCCCCACATAGACTGCATCCCATATATTGCACCACGTACAGCGCATATCGAGAGTGCAAGAATCCACTGTTTGGGGTCCACGCTGGCAAACATGAAAGTGGTCTCTTTTGCTCACTCATTCGAGCGTCCTGATCCCGTCAAGTCAGAACTTACGCCGCCTGTGCCGAGATTCCACAGTTGGCCGTTTCTGCCGTCACAGCATTCGGTGCCCGCCTGCGCTGCACGGGCGACGGGAGTATGCTCCGCTGGCAAAGGACCCAACCATATGCAGTTGTGAGTAACGCAGTTGCGAATGTCATCATCGATGGAGCTCCCTATGGGGCCACGAAACGTGGGAGTGGTGTGCCGAAGTGGGTGGGGGGGACGCATGTGGACGGTGGAACTGTAGCCTTCGGTGACGCTCCCTATGGGGCCACGAATCGTGTCAGGGGTGTGCCGAAGTGGGTGGGGGGGACGCATGTGGACGATGGCACTGGGGCCTTCGGTTGAGCTCCATATGGGGCCACGAAACGTGTGAGGGGTGCGCCGAAGCGGGGGAGGGGGACGCATGTGGACGGTGGCACTGGGGCCGTCGGTGGAGCTCCCTATGGGACCACGAAACGCAGGAGGGCTATGCCGAAGTGGGCGGGGCGACGCATGTGGACGGTGGCACTGGTGCTTTCGGTGGAGCTCCCTATTGGGGCCACAAAGAGTGGGAGGGGTGTGCCGAAGTGGGTGGGGGGGCGCATGTAGACGGTGGCACTGGGGCCTTCAGTGGAGCTCCTTATGGGGCCACGATGCGTGCAAGGGGTGTGCCGAAGTGGGTGGAGGGGGACGCATGTGGACGGTGGCACTGGGGCCTTCGGTGGAGCTCCCTGTTGGACCACGAAACGTGTGAGGGGTGTGCCGAAGTGGGCGGGGGGGCACATGTGGACGGTGGCACTGGGGCCGTCGGTGGAGCTCCACTGGGGCCACGAAACGCAGGAGGGGTGTGTGCCGAAGCGGGTGGGGGACGCATGTGGACGGTGGCACTGGGGCCGTCGGTGGAGCTCCTTATGGGGCCACGAAACGTGTGAGGGGTGTGCCGAAGTGGACGGGGGGGACGCATGTGGACGGTGGCATCGGGGTCTTCCGCGGAGCTCCCTCTGGGGCTACGAAACGTGTGAGGGGTGTGCCGAAGTGGGTGGGGGAACGCATGTGGACGGTGGCACTGGGGCCTTCGGTGGAGCTCCCTATGGGGCCACAAAGAGTAGGATGGGTGTGCCGAAGTGGGTGGAGGGGGACGCATGTGGACGGTGGCACTGGGGCCGTTGGTGGAGCTCCCTGTGGGGCCACAAAGAGTGGGAGGGGTGTGCCGAAGTGGGTGGGGGGACGCATGTGGACGGTGGCACTGGGGCCTTCGGTGGAGCTCCCTATGGGGCCACGAAACGTGTGAGGGGCGTGCCGAAGTGGGTGGAGAAAACGAATGTTGACGGTGGCACTGGGGCCTTCGGTGGAGCTAGATGTGGGGCCACGAAACGTGTGAGGAGGAGGAGGAAGGAAGGACGAAGGAAGGAGGAGAAAGCGGGGCGCTGTCTCTTCAAAACGAGGACCCAACACCACGGGATGGTTGGGAAAAAAAAGGGTGGGGTCTGATTTGGGGGGATCTGATTTGAGCTGTCTTTGAGGGTCCCGGGTGGTCTGGGCAAAAGACCGCCCTTTCATGGCCGTATTTGCGGGGGTCTGAACTTGCTTGTCTGGGAGGGTCGTGACCCCCCCCCCTACGAAGGTCAGGGTCTTCTCTTCAGTTGCACCGTCGGCGCTCGCAGCGGTCGTATTACTCGATCATGGGCAACCCCTCACTCTCCCATCGGCGCTTGCCTGTGTCAAGGCATCACACTCCAAAACGGTGCATGACGAAGCTCCAGGAGTTAGACGCTACATCACCCTTCCGCCCTCTCTTGGACTCTCTGCCATATGCCTTGCAGGCGAATGCAAAGAAGCCTGGCCTGACTGCCCTATCTTGGTCGCATACTCGGACGTACCATCACCTCGCCGAAGGATCACTACCGTCAATTACGTCGATGCTCGTACTCATAACCACTCAGGGCGTACATGCTACTATGAGGCCGGGAGCACAGATTCGAGAAGACTACCTGTGCTAGCGAGAACCCTCTCTCAGTGGCAGATTACCACCTCTCGAATCCCTGCTATCCCCGTCCTCCTCCTCCTCCTCCTCCTCCTCCTCCTCCTCCTCCTCCTCCTCCTCCCCCGCATCTTCCTCCAATGAAGAAATAACTAGCCTCGAGCTCATCTGTATCCATCATAGTGACACACCCAAGGCGATGACAATGTCAGAGATGCGCCCTTAGAAAATCAAGGAAAGAAAATCAAGGAATCGAAAGATCGGTACCGAGATAAGTCGATGCCAACCTTGGGACAGGGACATGTTTCAGGCTGGTGGAGATAAAGAACAGGAGGAGCGGCAATAAGATGAGGCGCAGGAAAGGCTTGCAACGCCCAGACCCAGCGTTCTATCCGCAAGATAGCAAAGGATGCAAGGCTGCAAGGCGGCAACACTTTCCTCAAAGAATGCTGCACTAATTGAGGGATGCAAGAACGCCCCTACCCTGGGTTACAAGTGCGTGGTCTGTAAACCTCCTGGGAGCTCCCGAAGGCCAGAAAGCCGCCAGGACGCCGCACGACACGCGCGGTATTTAGGGTTTACCCTGTCAGCCCACAGGAGGTTCAGCGCACAGCGCCTCGTAAACCAGGGCAGGGGCGTTTTTTACGACCTTGAACTAGGGGGCTCTAACCTAGTTTCGAACAATGAAGTGTGTGAATAGTCGGGATATTCGGGAGCGGCCAAGAGGGGGGTGTCCAAGAGGGGGGGGTGCAAATCATGACCGGCGGCATGTGCGCGGCCCAGCGGGGGGGCCAGGGACGTAATGGAGTAAGAAGAGGCGCCAGGAAATCTGGGGAGATATCATGGCCCCCGCCATGATATCCACCCCCCCCCTGGTCATCACCCCCCTCTTTGCCGCCCCCGAGATAGTCGCCAGGTGGCCAGTCCGGTCCCGTCGCCGCCTCCTGGCCGCCCCGTTCGCTGGCCGGGCTTCCCGTGGGACCGTCCGGTGGCAGCGCGTCGCCGCCTCGTCGCCGCACAGCTCACAGCAGATGGACTGCACCTCATCGCTTGCATTAAGTCGGGCGTGTCCCCCTACAGGGAGGTTTTCGATGAAGAATAAAAGAGATTCAGAAAATACTCCAGAATGGTCAAAAAAATACTCGAAAGATAGCCCCCAGACTATTTTTTGACTATTTCTGAATGTTCCCCCTGTAGAGGGACAGGCCCGACTTAACGCTTGCACCACATAGCTTACACCGTATGGCGTTATACCATATTTGCGGGACGGGAAAATGACCACAGCCACTGCTTCTTGTTTGCGCCGCCTTCCAGCCGGCCGAAAAAGAAGCAGTGGTTGTGGTCATTTCCCTGGTGCCAAGCTTAACGAAAATGACCACAACCATTGCTTCGTTTCTGCTGGCTGGAAGGCGGCAACAAAAGAAAAGTAGTGGCTGTGGTCGTTTTCACGTCCCGTAATATAGATTGCACCACACCCGCCACCGTGCCCCCCTGGCACGCCGAGGCGTGGTAAGATGCCCGGTGCTGCCTGGCAAGTCTGGCAAGTCTTCTAGAAAGGACCCCCCCCCTCCTCGCCGCCCCCGCTCCCAAGGCTCCCTGGCGCTCCGGCGCCTCCCTTGGGCTCTCCAGGGCACCCAGAGTACCGCTACCTTTCGCCCGTGTTCCCTTGTTTCGGCCTCCTGGGAGGCCTTCGTCGCCACCGCTGGATTCGCCTTGAAATCCTGGTCAGAACGCACCCCTCGAAAGGTCTGGGGAACAGCGGTATCGGTACTTTGGTTCAGCGCCTCTCGCCGGCGCGCAGAGGGAGGTAGGGGGAGGGGGAAAGGCTTCGTAGGAGGAGGCTGCTTCTGAGAAGGCGTGGGCCTGACATCTACAGACCAGGCCCGCGCCTTCTAAGAGGCAGGGGTGCTTCTAAGAAGCTTTCCCCCCTCACCCTTCTTGCGTTTGCGTGACCACGTCAAGCATCGCATTCAACTTCGCTCGTTGTGGCTGGGCGGCCGTTAGGAGCGAAGCGAGCCTTCTCTGAACCAGCCCAGAGGCCTGGAGCGCAGGGATTCTCATCAAGAATCGCGCGGGGAGGTGGGCAACCCATGGGGGCCCTGCACTTCACGCGCGCTCTCCCACAGCGCAGGCTGAGCCAGGCGCCTCGAGCTTGGACTCTGCGCCTGCACGCAGCCGATCGGCCATCTCGGTCCGAGAAAGGGCGGCCCTCCGTCGTACTTATCGAGATGACCAGTCGACTGGCACTTGAGCCACGTCCAACAAATTCGAGCTCTGGGGAAGACCATGCATGGGCGTGGCTACATGGCCACCAGGAGTCTAGCAAGAGAGAAAGCTGCATGAACATGAGCTTGCGGAGCTCATCGCGGAGCTCTCAAGAGTTCATGTCCGTGCCGTTATCTCCCTCCAGAGTCACAGATGCTCTGAGAGGTGTCTGGGCATGAATACGCCGATGGCAAGTCAGACTGTACTGTGCCTGCTGTGACACGTGCGAAGCGACTGGCACACGCACGCAGCGCTTGCCATGGCGAGAAGCGAGGGTCGGAGGAGGGCCAATTGAGACAACGGCGGCACTCCCACTCGGCCCATATCCGCCCAAGTCCCTCCAAGGGTCATCCTGACCCCTTTTTCGAGGCTGATCCAGCCGTGGCGACGAGAAGCTTCCTGGACGACAGTCGGGAGAGAAGGCCGCCGTTGGCTCAACTGCCTATCCTCCAGGACGGAGATAAGGGCGAGAGGCACGCTTCCCATACCCACGCCCTCCCAGCACCCCGCGCACCACAGATGACGAGTGCGCAGTCTTCGGGCACCGCGTCGACGAGCAGGTGGATCCTTCCAGGCACACGGCGGCATGGCAACACAAGAAGCAAAGTGTCTGCCTGAGTAGCAGGCTGCGGCCACGAACTTACTGGAGCGACGACAAGAGACGGGTCTTACGAACAAAAACATAGCGACCTTAAGCGTGGCACACCGCCTGGAAAATCCACGCAATCATCCCCGTTTCTTCCGTCGTTCACATGTACCTGTACCTCCAGACCTGGAGCATCATATCCGAACATGACAACGTGGCTCTTAGAAAAGAAACATATGTTGATAGGGGGCAAACGAACCTACCTCGCTTTTGACCACCCTCGCTTCCAAGAGCTACCAAGCGATGCCAAACTACGGCCCGCCGCACTGGTCAGGCCGCTCGACGGGGAGGCGCGTGGTATGACTTGGTTTGCCTGGAAGCGAAAGCGGGGTAGGTAATTCAAGACCCGTCAATCAACAACTTCGGTGAAGCAGGCTGGCGAGCCCCCGAGGTTTAGAACCCAAGCTGGCGAGTTCAAGGCCGACCGAACTCGAGAGGGCCGACCCTTAACGACAAGCGCAAATTCTGCCAGCGGCAGTGGAACAAACGCGCTCTGATAACCGAAGGGGCATCTCAGATCACCTGCACGAAGCAATGGATGAGAAAGCCACCAGCGCATTCGCGATCTTCTTGAGCGACGTGCGGAGCCTTCATCGGAGCGATGGATGCATGCAGCTTGAGCGGACCAGAGCCGCAGCTCTCCAGGGGCGAGCAGAAGAGCAGGAGAAGAGAGCGGGGAAGAGAGGGGGGAAGAGAGCTCGAGGTTGTGCCAGGCCACACGAGAGCCCAGAGAGAGCTGGAGGGGCGCCAGCTGCTGCAGCGCCTGAACGGATCCCGGATACGCGTCTCCATCGAGATGGCCTGCTGGGCAGACAGTCGGAGCGCAAAAGGCGCCGAAGGCCCCGAACCTCAGGCGATTGAAGACCAGAACTGCGAAGATCGGGGACGCCTGAGCAGCAGCCTGAGCAGCAGCCTGGGCAGCAGGTGCCCGGCGGGCCCAGGACCTCGTCCCGCACGCAAGGGCAGCAGCGCGCAGCGTGTGTGGCGAGGACTGTGGCCAAGAGCCCGAGCACCTGCGATACCACGAAGCTCCCGAAGCAGAGCTCCGCATCGAATCCCACCAGCCCTCTGGGCGCGGGAGGCTCAGATCGCCTCCTAGTTCAACCCCCTTCTTGCCTGTCGGGGAGTGGCTTACCCCTCCCCCTACCTCCGCGCTGAAGACACTTCCCCTCCCCCTTCTGGCGGAACCTCCTGGGGGCCCACCGGGCCCGCCTGAGGGCCTCTTGGGGGCCTCCTGGGGGGCACTTTGGATGCCCTGCGCCGCGCAGCCCATGCGAGGCACCTGCGTTTGGCGGAACGCGCGCCCAGCGCATCTGAACCGAGAACTGCGCGCTCTTGGCCCATGCGCGGTCCGCGCGTCCGCGCGGCGCGTGCGGTCCGTGCGCGACCCGCGCGCCGCGTTCCGCCACGCCCTCGGGCCGCTCGCGCACCCAGCGTCTCGGGCGCCCGCTGCGGCGAAGAGCGCAACGTGGCCACTGCGCGCGCAACGGGGCCGCGGAGGGCCGACGCGAGCGCAAAGCAAGAGAAGATGCACGAACGTTCCGCGCAACCCGCGCAGGTTGTCGCCCGTGCGCGATCGACGGCACGAAGAGCGGAACATGGCCGCGGCGCTCACAGGTGGGGGCGCGATGGGACAACACGAGCAAAAAGGTCCGAGAAGGAGTGCAATTAGGACGAGTATGATGTTGGAATACGATGTCATGATAGCCTTGACTCAGGAAACGTTCCAGGATCTGCACAGGATCTAGCGGCCCTCGTTTCTGCAGCCCGTGCGGGACATCCGAGAATACAGGCAGTCCTGGAACTCCTGGAACTCTTGGAACGAATCGTCATCATGGCCCCTTGCTCCTCTGAACAGAGGCTCCGCGCGACGCGCTTCTGGTTGGCGACCGCAACTTGAGCGCACTCGAGCAGGCGGAGCAAGGCTGCCACGCCCGCAGGCGAGCCCGCCCCGCGGGACCGGGCGAGCGCAGAGGCCCGAGGCGGCGGCCACAGCATGTGCACGACGCAGCAGGCAAGCCGCAACTAGAATTAGGTCGGGCATGTCCTCCTGCGGGCGGACTTTGGACGAAAAGTGAGCAATACCCCGAAGATACTCCAAAATAGGCCAAACATACCCGAAAAATCGTCCCCTGGCAACTTTTTGACTATGTTTTGGATATGGATATTCCTCCTGTAGAGGGGCATGCCCGACTTAACCTAAAATACCAGCGGCGACAGACCCACGGTCCGAAGAAAGCGCTCTGGAATCGAGGCAGCAAGAGCGACGATGAACATTGGCACTTGCGCACTCAACTCCGGAAGAGAGACACGAGAGGAGACCACCGATGGCACAGGGCACCAGAGAAGGAGACACACGGAAAACGCGCACGGGACTCACGACGACAGGGGGCAGCAGAAGCAAGGCACACGAGGGCACACGACACCGAGGAAAGAGGCGAACGAAGGACACAGCAAGGCACACGACGCCAAGGACAAAGCACACGGAGCGCTACTGGCAGGACAGAAAGGAACCGATACCCAGACTCTCGAGGAGAACCCAACCGTGGCCGCGAGGGCTCTCCAGCACCAGCAGCGGTCTCGGTATCTAAGCTACCAACACCGAGGTCAAGGCGCGCACTTTCTGCGTCGGCGGCTGGGCAGAGAGCGACTGCTCCGGCGGTCAGATCAAGGCGCACACAGGCGCGCGCAAGACAAACGAGAGAGGCGCGGAGAGCGGCGCCCGGCAGATGCACACCGGCGCCCACGCGACGGCGCCGCGGCCACGCGGCGCGTCGCGCATCGCCTGGCTACAACAGGGCCCGGCACGCCGCGACCGCGCGCCCGCGCGCCAGGCCGATGGCCGCGCGCCAGGGGCCTGGAACCTCGCACACAGGCCAGCCTGTGCACGAACGATGACGGTGACGATGGCGATGGCGATGGCGATGACGACGACGATGACAAAGACGGCGGCAATAACGATGCCGATGGCGATGCCAGCGGCGATGGTGGTGACGATGACGGTGGCGATGAAGATGGCGATGACGATGACCACGACGATGACGGTGGCGATGAAGATGGCGATGACGATAGCAAGGACGATGACAGAGGGGATGACGATGGACATGACAATGACGGTGGCGATGACATTGACGATGACGATGACGGTGATGGTGGCGATGACGATGACCACGACGATTACGGTGGTGATTACGATGGCGATGGAGATGGCGATGATGATGACGATGGCGATGACGATAAAGATGACGATGACGGTGGCGATGACGTGGCCATGACGATGACGATGACGCTGAAGATGACGAAGGCGATTGAGATGGCGATGACCACGACCATGACGATGGCGATGGCGATGGAGATGACGGTGACGGTGGCGATGACGATGACGATCACGCTGACGGCGGCGACGACGATGACGACGGCAATGACGATGGCAATGACAATGACGATGGCGATAGCGATGACGATGACGATGACTGTGGAAATGATGATGTCGATGTCGATGACGAGTGAGGTGGCGATGATGATGATGATGATGATGCTGATGCTGATGCTGATGCTGATGCTGATGCTGATGCTGATGCTGATGCTGATGCTGATGCTGATGCTGATGCTGAATATGATGCTGATGCTGATGATGATGATAATAATGACGAGAATGATGACGATGGCGATGACGATGGCCACGACGATTACGGTGATGATTACAATACAGATGACAATTGCGATGACAGGGATGGAGGCGATGACGATGAAGACGACGGTGGCGATGACGAAGACGATGACGATGACGACGATAGTGACGATGACGATTGCTCTGACGATGACGATGACCATGACCATGACGATGACGATGACGATGGCGATGACGGTGGCGATGACGATGACGATGACGATGCCTGTGGCAATGACGATGTCGATGGCGATGGTGATGACCACGACGATGACGGTGGCGATGACGATGGCGACGACGATGGCGATGACGATGACCATGACAATTATGATGACGATGACCACGACGATGACGGTGCCGATGGAGATGGCGATGACGATGACAATGACGACGCCGGTGACGACGACAATAGCGAAAGACAAAGGGGATGGAGACGACGATGGCCACGACGATGACGATGACGATGACGATGGAGACATCGAACCGACGACGGTGACGATTATGGTGATGAAGACGATCTCGGTGGCGATGACGATGGCGATTGTGATGGCGATGGCGATGACGATGACGGTAGTGATGATGATGCCGAAGTCGATGACTGCAGGGATGACCATGGCGGTGACGATGACAATGACGATGACTTTGCCTACGACGATGACGATGGCGATGGCGATGACGATGACGATGGCGATGACCATGACGATGACGACGACGATGATAACGGCGATGGCGATGACGATGGCGATGGAGATGGCGATGACCACGACGATGACGATTGAGATGACGATGACGATGACAGCGACGATGACGATGGCGATGACGAAAACGATGACGGTGGCGATGACGATGGCGATGGCGATGGCGATGACGGTGGCGACGACGATGGCGATGACGATGGCGATGACGATGACGATGACCGCGACGATGACGACGCCAATGACGAAGGCGATGATGATGGCAATGACGGTGACGATGACGATGACGGTGGCAACAACGCTGACGATGACAGTGGCGATGACGATGACGGTGGCGATGCCGATGGCATCGACGATGACGATGGCGATGACGATTACGGTGGCGATGACAGTGGCGATGACAGTGGCGATGACGATGGCGATATCGATGACGGTGGCGATGACGATGACGATGACGAAGATGGTAGCAATGACGATGGCGATGCCGAGACAGAGACGGTGACGATGGCTCTGGCGATGACAATGACCGCAACGATGACGATGACGATGGCGATGGAGATGACGATGACGGTGGCGAGGACGATGACGATGGCGATGGCGGTGGCGATGGCGATGGCGACGGCGATGACGAGGATGATGGCGATTACGGTAGCGATGACGATGACGATGACGGTGGCGATGACGATGGCGATGAAGATGAAGATGGCGATGATGGTGACGATGACGATGACGATGACGATGAAAATGACGATGACGATTACCATGACGATAACAATGACGATGACGATGGCGACGACGATGACGGTGGCGGTAACGATGACGATCACGATGGCGATGACATCATCGTCATCGTCATGGTTGATCGTCGTCGTCATCGGCATCATGGCACTCTCCACGCCCGCTGGTTTGTTGAGCCTTCTGGCGCGCGCCCCGCAGCGCGTCAGAAGGCTCAAGAGTGCCCAGAGTGCCCTGTCGGTCGCGCAACGCCCAAGAAGCTCAGAGTGCCCTGTCGGTCGCGGCTTCTTCACGACCGCTGCAAGCCTTCGGTCTGGACACGGACGACGGCATCCCAGAGCACACGCTGGCAAAACGGAAGGCGTTTCTCGGCATGGGCCCCCCGTGCGGGTGGAAGTCCATGTAAAAACCCACTGGCGTGGTTGTTAGCTTTCTGCTGTTATTGATCCACGCTTGTTACAGTCGGGGCGTTGACCCAAGGAACCCTAAATAAGGAACGAGGCCCCTTTTTCCCATAAGTTCAACCTCGATTTCCCATGGAAAACCTCGGGAAAACCTGAGGCAAACTTTGAAACAATCAAGGAACACCGAGCCCCTCCCCAAGGAAAAGGGTTCCTTCTTCAGCGCCCCGGCTGCATGTTCGTGCCACCCACCAGCGGAATGTTTATTTGTTTGTTTCTTTTTGTGCTGGGTGTCTATGCTTACTTTCACTCGGCTTTTGTCTTCGTCGTCACCCCCACAGCCGGCGCAGCGGCTGTGCCACCGCAGCGGCTGCGCCGCACTCTTGGTCTGCGGGTCGAGAGCGAGCCTCTTCCGGTTAAGAGCTAGGCGGGCCGCGCAAAGCACTAATTGGGAAGACAGAGCCACGTCGTTTCTGCGATCGCCGATCCTCAGGGCGGGGGAAGCGAGTGCAATTCTCGCCCGGATGCCGCGCAGGGTTCCCCTGGAAGTGGCGCTCCCAGGGCCCCGGGAACGGCCTCTCTGGAGGCCGAGGGCGCAGGAGAACCACGCCGCCACGATGTCCTGCTGGCGCCCAGGCCTGAGGGCCTCGCCGCTGCTCAAAAAGTCCGCTCCGCGGGCCGCCTCGTGCGCGCCGCGTCCCGCTTGACCGCACGTTTTGGCGTGCCCCTTTGGGCCGCTTCTGGGCGCAGGTTGGTCGCCCGCCCGTGTCGTTGGGAGCGGGGGCGGCACGCGAGAGCGAAGTGTTGCCCTCGCCCAAGCGACCCGCAGGTTGCGCCTCTGAGAGCGGTGCTCGCGCTTCTAGGCGCGGCGCCCACCCTTCGCTCGCCGAGGCAAGGTCGCCCTCGCCCAGATGCGGCCCCCGGATGTCGCCTGAAAGTGACGCGCAGGCGAGGTGCCGCTCTCGCCCGGGCGCCGTGCAGGTTCGGCTGAAAACAGCGCTCCCGCCTCGGCACGGTGCACGATCTGCCTTCGCCGCCCACTGGACATGCGGCCGCGCACGGGAGGGCTGCGTATCGTGCTCTCGCTGCAGCGCCGCGGTTCTGAGGGGCAACGTCAGTGAGGGGCAACGACAGGGGTGGGGAAAGGCACAGGGGGGAACGTCGACCTGGAATCGGCGATACATCACCGATAGATCGGCGATAGGCCTCCGATAGTGTATCCACACGTTCCTGGGCAGGTTGGGGCTATCGGGCCCCCCATCGGCGATCAATGGGCGATTGGGGGTCGATGCATCCTCCCTATGCCTAATTATCCCCCCCGATCGTTGCCCCTGATGTTCGCGGGGCAGCACCGCGCTGGTCCTAATGCGCAATCGTGCCCGCAATTGGCTCTTACGTCTGGGGGAGGGCAGACGGGAATGGGCGGGGCCCGCTGGCTGGCTCCTGCGAGCTAGCTGGCCTGAGCCCTGCTCCCGCTCCTCCGCACATCTTTCCATCATCCCGCAGCCCGTCCTCTTCGCTACGTCTCCCTCGTCCCTCCTCCCGCCGCCTCTTCCAGCCTCCCTCAATTTTCCGGCCGCGGCGCCGGCAAACGAGGGCGGGGGCGGGTCCGAAAAGGGTTCGAAAAAAAATGGGCACGATGCCCGACGGCAAGCGTCGCCCGAAACCGACCGCGGCCGCTGCTGGGAAGGCGACTTTTTTGCCTCGGGTGGACGCCGCCCGCGAAGACGCCGACAGCGACGCCTGTCCAGAATGAGCAGGGACTGCCATCGGTCTTCGTACCTGAAGGGGCCCCAGGACATACAAATAAGTACACACAAATAAAAATGAAATCCGCCGACCCTGTCGGCGTGTGCGAGGGGCTTCCTCGTCCGTTCCTCGCCGCCCCCCTTCTTCCTTCCCCCTTTTTTCTTTTTGGGCCGTACCCTCCTGCCGTCATGCCGTTGTCGATTCGAAGGGAAGCCCCTTCCCTTTGATCCCTTCCCCAGGGGGGGGGGGTCCCGGCAGGGGGGGGGGGGTCCCGGGGGGGGGGGGGGGGGGGGGGGGGGGGGGGGGGTGGGGGGGGCAGATTCGTTTTTCCTCGGGCGGCCTCGAAACCTCGAAAACACTCCAAATGAGGTCCGAATGCCCAAGATGGCCCCCGAGACGGCCCAAGAGTGCCCCGAGTCGCCCAAAGATCGGCCGAAGACGCCCAAGATAGCCCCAAGACCGTCCAAGAAGCCTCCAAGACGTCCCAGGCCCCTCCAAGAGCACCCCCAAGAAGGGCCCAAGAGGCCACACTCATTTCTTTTCAATCGGAAACTTACATTTCTAGCATATACGACGTTTCGGCCTTCACGGCGTCACAGACAGCTTCGTCTTCAGAGTCGGCGGCACCGGCCGTAAGGCCTTCGCAATAAGTACACACAAATAAAAATATTCCCCGTATTTTCCGATATTTCCTGGGTTTTTGTCTTCCCCCCCCACTTCCCGTATTGTCCCATATTTTCTGGGGGGTCGACGATTAATTGTGTCTGTGTGTTTTTTCCCCTCCTGAGCCTGTCCAGAGTGAGCAAGGACTGCCATCGGTCCTCGCACCCGCTCTCTCCGCACCCGCTCCGACCGTGCCGACGGGCGGGGGCGGGTCCGTTTCTCTGCCGACCACCTGCCCGCGAAGAACATGATCGCCCTCGGCCTGGGCCCGGGAGGCCGGGGGCGGGCAGCCGGGCCGGAGCTCGGGGGCGTCCGAGAAGGGGGGCGTCCAGGAGGGGGGCTCGAGATACGTGGCCCGAGGCACGTGCGCGGCCCCGGGGGGGGGAGGGGGCACGGGAGGCGCACGGAAGCAAGAAGAGGCGCCATGAGATCTGGGGAGATATACTGGCCCCGGCCATAAAATCCACCCCCCGCCCTACGGCAGGCTGGTGCCGTGCCGACTTCGGCGGCGGTTTCTCACACCACGGGGATCCTTCGACCTCGCTCGGCCATGCCCGAAACGCCGGGTCGCTCAACCTCGACCAAATTCTGGGTCGCCGACGGCGCTCCACGCTGAACGCTGGCGGCGGGGTCGCCGACGGCCGACACGACGCGAACCCTAAAACAGGGCTAGGATCGGGATAAATCGCTCCAGAGCGTTCCGGAGCGCTCTCAGAGCGTTCCGGAACGCTCTGGAGCGGCCGCGGCGCCCAATACATCCTCCAAACCCGCCGATCCTCAGAGATTTCGAGTTATCCCGATCCGATTTTGTCCCGATCTTCGCGTCGTTTAACCACCGCAGCCATCACCCCCCGCTTGGCCGGCCCCTCGGCCTGGGCCCCTCAGGGGTGCAGGGGGCGGGCAGCAAGGGGCCGGAGCAGGAGGGCGCGGGTCGCCCTCTCGGGGGCCCCAGACGTCCCCCGGAAGGCGGACGGGCGAGCAAGGGGAAAAGCGAGGGAGCCACCGCGCGGGGCTCTCAGGGGCCCCAGACGTCCCCTGGGGGGCGGGCGGGCGAGCAAGGGGAAGAGCGAGGGAGCCACCGCGCGGGGGGCGGCTCATACCAGCGCGCCCTCGCCTCCGCGCTCGTGCGCTCCGCGAGCGCGTCAGGATGCCACTCGCCGACCCGGGCCTGGCTCGAGCATCGCCCGTGCAGGCGTGAGGTCAGTGGGATCACCACTGCGGCGGCGGCGCTGTCGCCTTCGGTACCTGCGGCCCGAGTGCAGCGAGCAGCGGGCAGCAGGCAGCAGCCAGCGCCGGTGTGATCCGAGCCGCGCGAGTGCTCAGGCAGCCCCCCAGGGTCATCGGCAGGGAGGGGGGGGAAGGATGGGAAAGGGGAAGATGGAGGGGGGACAGGGGGGCGAGGGAGAGACCAGGGGGGACGGGAGGGAGCGGCGGAGGGGAGGGTGGCAGGGCTGGGGGATGAGAGGATGAGATGACAGGGTGAGGGCGGGGCGGAGAGCGGCGGGGCGGTGCAGAGAGCGGGGGTCGCGGAGGGGAGGCGGAGCGGAACGGGAAATATGTCGGGCACGGAGCGGGAGTGGAGAGAGAGGAAAGGGGGGGGAGGGGAGGGGAGGGAGGGCCGGCCGCCGGGGGCGCCTGCAGCCGCGCTGCTCCAGGGCGCTCAGCCAAGACCTCCGCGCCCAGGCTGGGGGGTGCAGTCATCGAGCTGCCTCAGGGAACGTCAAATGGGGAACGAAGGGGCTCTTCTAGCCACGGCGAGTCTCGGCCACAAGCCCGCTCCCCGACCTAGGTTTGAGGAACGGCCCGCAAACCAGAGCCCCCCCCTGAAGCCGAAATGTTTTCTCCATCGTCTTGATTGTAGGAGCACGGCCGCCCCCCCTCCACCCCGGCCAGGCAAGGGCTGCCAGCATCGAACCAACAGATCGGATCGGATCGAACCACGCGCATCGAATCGCGCCGCACCGGCACCGAATCTCCGTCGAGTCGGACCGGCCGCGCCGGGGTGCACAACTAACACTGTGCAAGCATCGGGCCAGATCGAAACGCCGGGAGATGGAAATCGAATCGGAACAAGCAGGATGAACTCGGCATCGTATCGGACCGATCGAATCGAAATGGGCCCTGCCAGGTCCGCGGCCTCTGCACGCCCTGCCATGCGAGGAATCCGCATGTGGACCAGTCCGATCAGGGCTAGCCCATGGGATGGGCGTGCGTCGCCGGGGGGCCCAGTCTCCGACTCGACACATGCCCGCTGTGCAAGCCTTTCCCGTTCCCATGTCGAACACGGGTTGCTCATCAATCATCTGTCAAGCTTCCCGAAGCGGCCCTGGGAGGGCCCAGACGGTGCTCTAAGAGGCGACCCCAGGAGACTCGGAGATTGCAGGACCACTGAGACCATTGTCAACCCGCTGTCGCCCGAGCCTTTTCGGGGCTCCCGAGCGCCCCAAAATACACTCTACGGCGGCTCACGGCTCCAGGAGGGACAGAAGAGGATTCCAAGACCAAACTGGACCCAATGGGCTTCCAGGAGCCACGAAGCGCAAGGCATCAATAAGGCCAGTCTATCCTCTCCAACCTCCTCCTCCTCCTCCTCCTCCTCCTCCTCCTCCTCCTCCTCCTCCTCCTCCTCCTCCTCCTCCTCCTCGTCCTCCTCGTCCTCCTAGTTAGACCGACGTTGAACCTCTGGGCTCGTTGCGCCTGGATCCTCCCCCTCCTCGTCTCCCTCCTCCTGTTCATGAGAGGGCCCTCGTGCCCAGGTGCATGTCTCTCAGGAGGCATGCCTCCGCCACCAGGGCCTGCAGCGTGCTGGCAATACCAGCACAGGAATGGCAGGTGGTCTGCTAGACCCTCGAGGCGGGATCTGACAAAACTTCGTCCCAGCTCTTCATCGTCATCCTCCTCCTCCTCCCTCTCCCCAGTCACTCCCTCCCCCCTTCCTGCTTCCCCTCGCCCACTCTCTTGCCCTCTCCGATGCGTTGAAGCGGTTCCCCTTCTCCCTCTGGCTTCCCCTTCCAACTGTCCTGTCCCACCCCCCTCCACAGGGAAAACGCAAGGACGCATCCATCCACGCGAGAGTACCGGTGAGTAGGCTGCCCAGTCGCTGCGGCCGCATCTGGCTGAGCCGAACCTCAGCCACATAACCACCAGCTTCATAGACCTCAATTTCCTGCTGCGCCAACATCAACCTCGACAATCCCGATTTGACCGTGAACCTGGACAATCTGGAGCTGGCTGCCCACATCGTTTACCTCAGCTTCACCGGTGACAGCGTCCCGCACCGCTGGCCACACCGTCAGGATGGATCTCTCGCCAGGACCTTCCCGCGCTGTCACCGCCATGATCGCAATCCTTCCGCCGCCAATCCTCGCCATCGTCGCGCCGTCACCACCGCCGCCCGCTGCCCCCTGCTCCACGGCAGGGACGCCACTCCTCCCCCGCCGCCCCGCGCGCGTGCCTCCGCGTGGCAGCGGCACGCTCGGTCCACTCGGCGGGCTCGCTCTTGAACTCCAGCGACCTCCCGAGCCCCTTGTCGATCCGGGGGGCCGGATACTGCCATGGAAAACGCGGAGGGAGGAACGAAGGGGCTCTTTTGGCCGCGGCGAGCCTCGGCCACGCATAGGCTTCCCGGCCTAGATTTATCGAACAGCGCCCCCCCCCCCCAAAAAAAAACGGGAGCCCCTCCTGATCAGAGGGGTCCTTATTTCAGCGTCTTGACTGCAGCACGAAGGAGAAGGTCGTTGAGACCTCCCATGGGTTCAGGGAAGGGGGACGCTTCCCTGGGAGTCCTTGCCGATGTGGACATGAAGTCTCTCCAGGACGAGGAAGGTGGAAGACTGAGGATGGAGGAAAGAAAAAGGATCCGGAGGAACCAAGAGGAAGAGGAGGGGAGGAGAGGAAGAACCATCACAGCAGCAGCAAGCGGAGGATCATGCTTCTTTGCTTGGAGCATCAGCAGCTTGAAAGATTCTGAACCGTCGAGAAGATCGGCCACCTCAGTCCGCACACGATCCTCCCCGATCCTCCATAAAAAAACGTGGCGCGGGCCACATCCCGCGCGCGCGGCCGAAGGGGGCGAATTCCTTGCCCCTCGCGATCCTCCATTAGAAATGTGACGCGGGGCACATCCCACCCGCTCGGCTGAGTACGCCCCTGGCCCCGCCTTTGTCGGGGGGGGGGGGGGGCCGATCGTCGAGGAGATCGCCCCCCCCCCCGACAAATCAACGACCAGCTGCACCTGCGGTCGAGGACTGGGGCCTCCAGGGAGCCACGGAGGAGGGCACCGCGAGGGCTGCCCGACGGCGCCAGCGACAGCGCACCTGGTCCGCGCGGGGCCCCCCCTCTGGCGCATTGCTGCATGGAAGCCCTCTCACGCCACCTCCGAAAGGTTCATGTCTATGCGCTTGTTGATTCTTCTTCATCTACTTCTCCCAGATCCTCGGCCCTTGCGCGAGCCTCGCGCGCTAGCCCTCGCGAAGCCGCTCACGCCGCGCCCACTCGAAGAGCGCGCCACGGGCGGCGCAAGAAGCGCCGCTAGGGGGGTCCAGCACAGATCCATGAAATCCGCACGGAGGTCCGGAAAAATATGTTTATGCCGTATGTCCTCATTCTGCTTAAGGGGGTCCCGCCTGCAGCGGGCTCGGATGCGCGATCTTCGCACCGCGCTTGCATGGCGCCTGGCAGTCGCAGAGCACGGCGACGCAGCGGGTGTCGCGCGCAGCCCACCCATGACAGGTCGGGTGCAGAATCCTACGCAGAATGCAGAATCGTCCAACAACTTCATGATAGCCCCTTGTTCACCATCACGTGAATGGCAGTCCTCGTTCTCGAGGGCGTACACGAATCTCGTGATGCTCCCGCAGGGTCTCTTCATCAAGCCCAGGAGAATATTCTCACCAGTCCCAGACCAGGCCCAAGAAGTGCCTGACTAAGATCAGTTTGAGCGTATAGCCAGTGGTTGTCGAGGGCAGAGGAGAAAAGAACGAACAGCCTCGGAATCGTGCGCGCTGCGCTAAGGAGCCCACGGGGGAAACGGCAAGGGAAGAGAGGGAGGGATGGGAAGGACAAGGGAAGCGAAGGGAGGATAGAGGGGGAGGGAAAGGCCAAGGGAAGGACCACTGCTCCAGACTCACCGCTTGCAGGCTTACGCGCTACACGCGGACCTTCCTCTCTGCTGCATGGTGCTCCCCCTGACCAGAGTATGGGCGGCCACACAGCGCCTCGGCGAAGGAGAGCGGCGGAGGTAGCAGCTGGAGAGGTACGCGCAGAGACGTGGGCCCGTCAACGCTTGCAGGCATGCTGCATACATGCACACATCGTGGCATGATCTTTGGCAGGGCACGGCGCAGCACCTCTGCTCGTTACAGTGCTCTGCAATGAATGCGATACTCGCTTGCATCATACTACACTGGCACATGTTAGGTACACGTATCATACTTCCCTCCACCGAATTGGATTTCCGTCGGCAGCGCATGTCGTATGCCGTCTTCTGCAGTGTACTGCGACACGTTGCACGACGCTGCATTCCATCTCGCTCATCGAATCGTGCACTGCATCGGTTCCAACCCGAGACACGGGCGATGCCAGAGGTGTCCCTGGTCCCAGGCGTCCCCTGGACTTCCAAGGAGGCCACCACGGCCTCCAGAGCACCCCTGACGAAGCCCAAAACAAATCCAGGCGCCCTACAATGGAACGAAAAGCTGGGAGCACCCCAAGGTACCAATACCGCTACTCCCTGGACCTCTCATGGGGTGCGTTCTGACCAGAATTTCAAAGAGAATCCAGCCGTAGTGACGAGGACTCTCCAGGAGCAGCAGCAGTATCTGCATCTGTTCCTCCTCTGAAGGGCTGGGGACACCTCTTGGGCCGAGGACACCTCTAGCCACCCCCGAGGAATTCGCTGCCCGAGCACGCCCCAGATCTGGAGCGCAGCAGCTGACGAGGCCCTGATGGCTCTAGGGGCTCCAGAATGATGGAGCGAAACGCCGGGACACCTTGGTAGTGAGATTTGCTCATCTTGCTCACTGAACCTTCCCCTTCCCGTGCTACTGATTCGTTGCTAACTGCACGCGCTGGCGCTGCACTCTGATCACCTAGGCCAAGGGCACCTCTAGCAACCCGCGATCGATCGACGGCCTCGCGCGCCCCGGATCTGGAGCGCCGGCAGCGCTGGGCTCCGGCGCCGACTGGCACACGGTACGCGGAGGACATCTGCCTGCCGAACACCTTCGACACCGTGGCGTGCACCTCCCCCATCCTAGACAGGCGCGCTCCACTGCTCGCAAAGTAGCTGCTCGCAAACGGCATGGATCCGCCGCGGGGAGTTCACGATCCACTGCATCAAGGGAAACATGCGTTTCTCAGACGTTTGCGAGTAGGCACTGCCTGCCGAACACCTTCGACACTGTGACGTGCACATCCATTAGGTGTATCATGTGTGAGAGAGACTTTCAACAAGTTCTGCCCGATTGGCGCCTACTCGTGTCTATCAATGTCCACATTAGCGCCTATTAGCGCCTGTTGGCGCCTGTTGGCGCCTATTAGCGTCTAGTAACTCCAATCAGCGCCAATTAGCTACCACGGATAAGCAGAAATAAACATTAATAGCCACGTAATAGCCAGGGTAGATAACAACTCATGCTTAAAATGCCTCTCGCACGTAACACACCTAGCCCGCCCTACCCAGTGGTACAGCTGTAGCAGCGCGTGCTCCCCTAACACACCCCCTGGAGAGGCAGACGTGGGAGCGGGAGCAGGGGAAGAAGAAAGAACTGTATAAACAGAGACTGTCAGAGCTCCGCGCTGGATCTCTTGGATCGGCGCTGGACACCCACCCTGGCGCGCGGAGCGCGCCAAGGGTGGATTCACATGGTGACCCGCGCCATTTTCGGCGCACCCCTCACGCAAAGGGCTTCACCGAAGGCCCCGTGGCTTGGTTCACATGGTGACCCGCTCCATTCGGGGAGACCCCTCACACGTCGTGGAACCATTGGCAGCTCCACCGAAGGCGCCAATGGCTGACTTCACGTGGTGACCAGCCCCATGTTGGCAGACCCCTCACACGCTGCGTGGCCCGTAGGGAGCTCCACCGAAGGCTCCGGTGGCTTTGTTCACATGGTGCCCCGCCCCATTTCGGCGCATCCCTCACACGCTTCGTGACCACATAGGAAGCTCCACCGAAAGCTCCATTGGCTGCGTTCGTATGTTGCCTCGCTCCACCGAACGCTCCAGTGGCTGCGTTCGCATGGCATCGCCCCGCCCAATTTCGGCAGACCCCTCACACTCTTCGTGGTCCCCCCCGTTTGCGATTTGAGTCGAGAGAGTGCGTGCGCGAATAAGAACGTTGGCTGCGGTCTGACGTTCTTCGGCAAAGCACTCAGGGGTACTGCAGATCCCTCAGCTTGTGCTTGTGTGCTGAACGGTCCTGTCCCGTTTCTGGTCGCCACGTGTCTAGAAAGGGTTGAGTTCTTCGGCAGGCAAATTTCTCCTCGAGTCTTGGGCCCTCGGGCCCTCTGGGGGCCCTCGCCGCCGGGTGTGCAACTGCATAGACCGCACCGGTGTGGCCCCAGCACCGCCCGCCGCTGAGCGAGCGGGCACGCACCCGTGGAAGAGCACGCCCTGGCCCCTCGCCGTCGTGAAAAAACGACGGAAGGCTTTTGCTGCTTGCGGCCTCTGGGGGCCCTCACTGGGCCCCGGGAGCGCCAAAGAACCGCCACAGGATGGAAAAACGGTCCCAGGGAAGGGCTCCGGACCTCTGCGGGCCCACGTCGTGAAGCAATCATGACGTCGGGGGTCTGGGCGGGTGTTCACCCCGCTGCAGAGGCCGGCTCCCCCGTCCCACCGATGCGAGGTGTGCGGCGTAGACGTGCAGGTACCACACCAACTCGCGGCGCACGGGAGGGGCGCGAACGCTGATCCTGAAGTCTCTGTGGCAACTTTTGGGAGCCTCCTGTACCATCCTCTGGCTCTCGGGAATCGACGCTGCTCGTCGCTAAGCGCGCCAAATCGAAGCGAATCGACGCTGACCGACGCTACTAATCGACGCAAATTCGGGGCCATCTCATCGACTAGCAGACGCTAGTGAACGCTAACGCCCTCAAAAGACAGACTTGAGATGGCATACGGCAGGTTCGTGTCGTGATGACCCCGGCGTTGGTTTCTGACACCGCGTGGATCGTTCAACCTTGAACGATCGGCGGCTTTCGATCGCCCGATCGCTCCATGTAGGCCGATTCCGGGCCACTGGCGGCGTTCAACCTTGAACGCCCGCGGCGGGGTCGCCGCCGGTCGACACGACGCAAATGCTGCCGAATGAAGGACACGTCGGGGGCGGCGCGCCGCTCGGGTGCGGAAGCGGCTGCGCGTGGTGGAAGATCGGAGCCGCGTCGGAGCGCTCTCGCGCGGGGTGCTGGAGCACACACGCACACGCGCGGTGAGAGGTGCACGGCACCGGCCCAGCGAAGCACGAAGAGATGGGGCCACGGGAAGAAGACAGTGACTACCTACCAGACCACCCCAACCCAACCCGAAGACCCGAATTTGACCCGAATTTCGGGTTGGGGGGGTACGGGTTCCATGTGTTTTTTCAACGTTCCCCGACCCCCCCCACTGGAAATGGAGGGCAAATTGAGGCCTTCGGGATGGGTTGGGGTGGTTTGGTAGGTGGTGAGCCACGGGAAGAAGGCAGGCAGCTCAGCCCCGCAGCCACCTCTCGCGAGCGGATCAGAGCGGAAGCGCCACTGTTTGAAGAATGCGCACACGTGCGCATGCGCGCGGACCGCAAAGCAATGTGGGCGGACGTTGTGCCGTCGTTGGGCCGGGGGGCAATCAGGAGGGCCGCGGAAAAGGCAGGCAGGAAGATGAAGGACAGAGATGATGGAGAGGACGGGGAAAGGGACGACGAGCATCAAGAAGGATTGCGAGGAGGACGGCGAGGATCCAGAAGAAAAAGGAGGCAGAGGAGGATGACAAACAGGACGAGGAGAAGGAGGACTACGAGGAGGGCAGAGTAGAGGGTAATGAGGACTTCGGTGACAAGGAGGGAGGAGGAAGAGCACGCGGATGAAGAGGAAGTGGAAGAGCAGGAAGAGCAGTGGAGCAGGAAGAGGAGGATAATAAGCAGGCGGGTGACGAGGAGGAAAGCGTGAAGGACGGGGAGGATAGCGAGGAGGAACAGACAGAAGGACTACAACAGGAGGACACCTTGAAGAAGAGGACGAGGAGGAAGAGCACAACGAAGAAGTGCACGAGGGAGATGAGAACGACAAGGACGAGGAAGACTAGGAGGATAGCGCGGCAGACGATGAGAACGGGACGGACCATGGATGATACAGGGGAGAGCGAGAGTGGGGCGGACGAGGACGAGGTTCACGCTAGGGCGGAGGAAGACGACGAGGAGGACGAGTAGGACAAGGAGGAAGAGGAGGACAAGGACGACAGGAACGATGACTTTTTGCCAGGTACGCGGCACATGCTGTACACAGCGATGCGCGCGCGAAGGGGCGGATGGAAGACGACGTGGAGGACAGCGAGACGGAGAAGAGTACAGCAGGAGGACGAGGACGAGGGCGAGGCGGAGGAGAAGGACGAAGAAAAGGTGGACCAGGAGCACGAGGAGAAGAACGTAGAGGCAGTGTGGGGGGGAGAAAAATCAAAACACTAAACTACGCGGGTGGAGCGTTCTTGGGTGCCTCTTGGGGCGGCTCAGAACTCTTCTGGGCAATTTTGGAACCTCTTGGAACCCTCTGTGTCTGCTTGGGCCCTCCGAGGTCCTATTGGAATGTCCCATGGCCATCATGGGACCGTTTTGCATCGTCTTGGGAGCATATTGGGGGCTCTCGAGGACCTCTTGGGACCCATCTGTGCGTCTATTGGGCTAATCTTGAGCCCTCCAGAAGCAATACTGAGACGATGCTGAAAAGCAGCCCCTGTCGAACCCCCCGTCAAAGCCAAAAAACATTGAACAAAAGCATATGTTGGAAGAGTTTGCCCCACACCCCGCCTGAGGAAACCTAACCAACAAGAACGGGAAACGCCACTGCTCTGGCGCTGAGTGTTCGCACACAGAATGCCATCGCAGGGCTTCCCTGAACATCCAAGTAATTGGAGCGTGTAGCCTGCGTATAGATTGCTTCCTGTGACCGCCTTGGTCAGGTGTTTCGCGAGGCGTGTGCGCGTGTCTGAGCGCTGACTCCAGGAAGCGAGCCAACGTCGCCCCAACCCAAAGACGGAACAGTGCGGCGGTCGCTGGGGACAGCCGCACGCTCAACTGCGGCCAGGACCAGTCGTCCAGCTCGACGCCTCGGACGCCGAAGCATGATTCAACGCTCTCTCCCGGAGGCCCGGAGGCAAAACTCCCCGCAACCCGGAGAAAGAGAACACAAACAAGGGCTCCCAACTTCGCGCTTCGCGCTGCGCGAAGCGCGAAGTGCGAATAACTTCGCGCTCTCGCGCCGCCTCCCAGGGTAGAAGGGGAGGATGAGGAGGAATCGGAGCCGAACCGCGAAGCGCGAAGCGCGAATAACTTCGCGCACTCGAGGGCGCCCTTGACAAAGCACAAGCATGGCGGATTTCTTGGAGGATCGGCGCTCGGCCCCTGGTGCAGCACTTCCAGCGACCCCTCTGGCCGCTCTCCTCGCGGGATGGGAAGTGCAGGGGAAGAAGAGAGGGGAAGGGCACGGGGAAGGGAGGGGTGAAGGGAAGTAGGCAGGGGATGGGGAGGGCAGGGCAAGGGAGGGGCGGGGTTTAGAGGTCCAGGAAGGAGGGGCTGGGGGAGAACAGAGGAAGCTGCTCGGACACACTTGGCAGGAGAGCTTGCGGGGCCTTCACGACGCCCTTGCAGCTGGGCATGTGGGTGATGTCCGTGTGGGTGGATAGCTTCGAACCCCCCTAGGAGGTCACCCGAGCCATCCTCGTCATCCTTCCAGGCAACGGGCGCTCTCCCCAGACAATTCTGAGAAGCGCAAGCGGCACAAGGCGTCACGAAGAGTGTCGCTAGGTTGCCAGAAGGTTCGACCTCCACCCTACCGATGTGTTGGGATCAAACGGCATCGCAGTGGTTCGCGCGCACACTTGCCAAACAGGGTGTGCACATGTACTTCTGTGTATCCGCCACCGTGCCTGCGAGGCACGAGTTGAAGTGTCCTCAGCAATCCTCCCAGCCTCAGTTCCCAATCCTGAAGATCTTTTAAAAGACCCAGGCACTAAATTCTCGAATTTCCCAGGCCTCCCTGCACGCAGGGGCGTCTTCCCGCATGACAGATTCAGTCTCAAAGGGGCCCAAAGCTGGGCCACGAAGGCCCAAAGAGGCCTCTAACTTACAACCAAGGCAAGGTGGCAGGACGAGCCGAAGGCCACTGGAAATGCACACACGCCTATGGGTAAACAGAGAGAGTGTGTGAGAGAGAGGGCAAAAAAAGAGGGGACACAAAAATCGCCTGCCAAACGGGTCAAAGGCGTGCTAGAATCTCAAGAACAAGGTTCAGAGTACTTGTATATAACCAGTTCGCGCGCGGGGCCTGGAGGAAAAATGCCCCAGGCAGGTCCTGGCAAGGTCCCGGCGACATTTCGGCAAGTTCGGATCAGAGATGCCAGAACTCCCGGGTGCGGGCATCAGGACCTCCAAAAAAACACCAGGGCCGCCTCAAGTGAGCTCCCATGGTCCAAAGCGCTCCCAGAGAGGTCTCGAGACCGGCCGATAACGCTCTAAGACGGCCCAAGGTGGCCTCAAGAGGCGCCCAAGACGGCACAAGAAGGCCCCATAAAAGGCCCGAAGACGAGGAAGAATTGATTCCTCAAACACCCATTTCGGCACACCCCTCACAGGTTTCGTGGCCCCCTAGGGAGCTCCGCCCCAGTGCCACCGCCCGCATGCGTCAGCCACCACCCAGCACAGCGTTCCGTGGCCCCATAGGGGACTCCACCGAAGGCCTCAATGGCACCGCCCGCATGCGTCAGCCACCACCCAGCAAAGCGTTCCGTGGCCCCATAGGGGACTCCACCGAAGGTCCAAGTGGGACCGCCCGCATGCGTCAGCCACCACCCAGCAGAGCGTTCCGTGGCCCCATAGGGAGCTTCACCGACGGCCCCAGTGGCACCGCCCGCATGCGTCAGCCACGACCCAGCAGAGCGTCTCATGGCCCCATAGGGAGCTTCACCGACGGCCCCAGTGGCACCGCCCGCATGCGCCAGCCACCACCCAGCACAGCGTTTCGTGGTCCCATAGAGAGCTCCACCGAAGGTCCCAGTGGGACCGCCGCCATGCGTCAGCCACCACCCAGTACAGCGATTCGTTGCCCCATGGGGAACTCCACCGATGGCCCCAGTGGCACCGCCCGCATGCGTCAGCCACCACCCAGTCCAGCGCTTCGTGGCCCCATAGGGAGCTCCACCGAAGGTTTCAGTGGGTCCGCCCGCGTGCGTCAGCCACCACCCAGCACAGCGCTTCGTGGCCCCATGGGGGACTCCACCGAAGGCCCCAGTGGCACCGCCCGCATGCGTCAGCCACCACCTACTATAGCGTTTCGTGGCCCCATAGGGAGCTCCACCGACGGCCCCAGTGGCACCGCCCGCATGCGTCAGCCACCACCCAGCACAGCGATTCGTGGTCGAATGGGGAGCTCCACCGAAGGTCCCAGTGGGACCGCCTGCATGCGTCAGCCACCACCCAGCACAGCGCTTCGTGGCCCATAGGGGGGGCTCATCCGAAGGCCCCAGTGGCACCGCCCGCGCGCGTCAGCCACCACCAACTACAGCATTCCGTGGCCCATAGGGAGCTCCACCGAAGGTCCCAGTGGGACCGCCCGCATGTGTCAGCCACCACCCAGTACAGCGCTTCGTGGCCCCATAGGGAACTCCACCGATGGTCCCAGTGGGACCGCCCGCATGCTTCAGCCACCACCTACTACAGCGTTTCGTGGCCCCACAAGGAGCTCCACCGAAGACCCCAGTGGGACCGCCCGCATGCGTCGTCCACCACCCAGCACAGCATTTCGCGGGCACATTGATTGGGAGCTCCACCAAGCCCCAGTGGCACCGCCCGCACGCGTCCCCCCCACCCGGTACAGCGTTTCGTGGTCCCGTAGGGAGCTCCAGTGGTCCACCCGCATGCGACCCCCCACTCAGTACAGCGCGTCATGGGCCCATAGGGAGCTCCACCGAAGGCCCCGATGGCACCGCCCGCATGCGCCCGCCCCCCCCCTCCCAGTACAACCGTTCGTGGCCCCATAGCGAGCTCCACCAAAGCCCCCCTGACACCGCCTGCATGCGTCGGCCACCACCCAGTACAGTGCTTCGTGGCCCCATAGGGAGCTCCACAGAAAAACCCCACTGGCACCGCCCGCATGCGACCGCCACACCCAGTGCAGCGTTTCGTGGCTCATAGGGAGCCCCACCGAAGGCCCCACTGGCACCGCCCACGTGCGACCGCCACACCCAGTGCAGCGTTTCGTGGCTTATAGGGAGCCCCACCGAAGGCCCCACTGGCACCGCCCACATGCGACCGCCACACCCAGTGCAGCGTTTCGTGGCTCATAGGGAGCCCCACCGAAGGCCCCACTGGCACCGCCCGCATGCGCTTCCCCCACCCATTACGGCAAGTCCCTCAAACGCTTCGTGGCCCCATCGGGAGCTCCACCGAAAGCGGCACCCACAACGCGTTACTCACAACTGCCTCTGGTTGGGTCCTTCGCCAGGATAATTGAACAGTTACCGTTCTCGCTGTTCCAGGCATCCGACAGCCCAAGACGGGCCAAGAGGCCCCCAGTATCGCTCCAAGACGGCCCCCAAGGCCCCCAGGAGAACCCCAGGACGGCCCAAGAGCCTCAAGACGGCCCAAGAACCCCCCCAAGACGGCCTGCGACAAGGCCTCCGAGACCGCCAACAGGCATCCAAGAGCCCCCGAGACAGTAGACCCCAGGAGGCCGCAAGAGGCGGGCTTCATCAAAAGGGGCATCACCACATGCGCATCATTGTTTATGGCGTTGTCCTTGTCGAACGGCTTGGATCTAATCCAGCTTGGGTGCCATCGCGTCACACCCAGGTGCTCCACAGCTCCCGCGCAAACACAACACCAACTACTCAACTGTCCCCGCGTCCGACACGGCACCCGGTATTCCACAGCCTCCGTCTCCAGCACAACGCTCTGTACCCCAGTCCTGCTTCGGAAAGGCATCCCTACGAGCCCGATGAAAAACCCGCACACGCCCGCAGCCTGCCGACCGCCCCGACCGCGTCTCGGACCCAGCACCCAGTGCTCCGCAGCCTCCCCGCCCAGCACAGCACCCACGATTCAACGGTCTCCGTGCCCGGCAAAACACCCACGACTCAACAGCCTCCGTCTCCAACACAACGCCGTGTACTCCACAGCCTCCGCTGTCAGCGAGCATCCCTGGGAGTTGCATTCAAAAACCCGAGCGCGCCCGCCCGCCCGCCCGCTGCCCGACCACCCGCCCGCCCGCCGACCACCCCGCCCGCCGCTTCAACGCACCACCCATTCCTCCACAGCCTCCGTGCCCAACACAGCACCAAATGCTGCACAGCCTCCGCACCAACACAACACCCACTCCTCGACGGTCTCCGTGCCCGACACAGCATACACGACTCGACAGCCTCCGTCTCCAGCACAACGCTCTGTACTCCACAGCCTCTGCTGCAAAAGGGCAAGATCAGGGGCTTGATTAAAAACCCGAGCACGCCCGCCCGCCCGTCCGCCGACCGCCCCGATAGCGTCTCAGACGCAGCACCCAATGCTCAAGAGAGAAAGAGAAAGAGAGGATGAGAGAGAAATCCCCAAAAAAAGAAAAAGGAAAATAGAGAAATGGAGAGATTGATATAAAGATAAAGGAACAAGAGAGAGAGAGAGTGAAAGAGAAAGAGAAAGAGAGAGAGAGGGAGAAAGAGGGGGAGAGAGTGAGGGGGTGAGAGAAAGGGGGGAATCAAGGGAGAGAGAGAGAGAGAGACATATAGACAGGGCAGAAAGAGAAGGGTGAGGAAGGAAAATAGAGGAGGGAGGGTAAGGTTGAGGCAGAGATATAGATGGAGACAAAGGTGAAGCGTACATGTTGATTCATCTTGTATCTATATAGAGAGGGGCTGGAATAAAGGGAGAGGGCGAAGAGAGAGCCGAGGCAGCTACAAACACGCGCATCACATACACGCGTACATGCAAACGACGGCATGAACACTGGTGTGCAGACTTCCTGGTCACCCGAGGAGGCTGACGTAACCGTCGGCGGAGCATGCTACTTCATGCTGGCATCGAAAATTACCATGCTGAAAGCACATAACAAAAACGGCATAAACATGATTTCTCGGAGGTCGCACTGCTTTCTTTGATCGGCGCTGGGGCCCCCTGGCGACGCCGGAGGGGCTGCACGGACCTCCGAGAAATTTTCTTCATGCCGTTTTCTGTTCTTCGAGAGTTGCACTACAACCTGACATGATTCGCTTCCTGGCCGTTGTGAAGCTGGCAGGGCAGTCGGGACGGTCGCGCAAGTGCTTCGACGCGGCCTCGTTCGGAGCTCCCACACCTTCAGCTAGGGCAGATGTCTGTCCGCCCCGTGGCACCGAGACCAGAAAAAATGTATTCGGTATCACTGGATTGTTTGTCGCAACCGCAAGCGAAAGCGCAGGCGGCGAGTAACGGAACGGGCTAGGTGCGTCCCAGTGAATGCTGAGCATTTTGCTCAGTGCACGTGCATTGCACGCCTCGCGTGGAATCCCACCAGCCCTTTGGGCGTGAGTGGTTTAGAAAGCCCGCTCTGTCCTCAACCCCCCTTCTTCCCCTTCGGGGAGGGGTTTACCCCTCCCCCTACCCCCTCCCCCTGGACCTGGACAGGGATTCCGGGGTGGTGGCGGGGGGGTCCATTTCGACTCCTCGGAGGGCCAAAAAACGACGACCCTCACGAGGATTCTGGCCCCGAGGGGGGGGGGGGGGGAGTTTGGCCCCTCTGCTCGTCTTTGACGCAGAAATCATTGATTTTACTATGGTTTTGGCCCCATTTTGGCCTTCTGAGGGGGCCGCGCTCATCTTCCCTCATAGGAAAATCAATGATTTTACGAAGGTTTTGGGCTCATTTTGTCCTTCTCAGGGGGCAGCTCTCCTTTGCGCTTCTGCGGAGGTCGCAAGAGGCCCCAAGATGGCCCCAAGAGGCCCCCAGGAGGCTCCCAAGAGGCCTCCAAGAGGCCCCCCAGAGGCCCCCAAGCGGCCCCAAGAGGCCCCCAAGAGGCCCCCAAGAGGCCCCCAAGAGGCCCCCAAGAGGCCCCAAGAGGCCCCCAAGAGGCCCCCAAGAGGCCCCCAAGAGGCCTCCAAGAGGCCCCCAAGAGGCCCAACGAGGAGCCCGAACGACTCACACCAGGACGAGGGGCCCGAACGACTCACACCACGAAGAGCCCGAACGACTCACACGACTCACACCACACACCACGAGGAGCGCTTTCTCTCCCTCCTCCTCCGCCTCGTCCTTCTCCCGCTCCCCCCACAAGGAGGATGTACAAGGAGGCGGCAGGAAGGAGGAACAGGGGAGATATGCGGGGCCAAGCGGACACACGCCTGAAAAACACGACTGTCGGCATGCTTCGCAAGAGTTGCTGCTGTGAGATGGGCTGGTGGGGATATGCGAAGCGTACAGAATTCGCCTGTTCCGCCGTCCCGGACACGCCTGTTGCCGCCAGACCATTGTCGCGCGGCCGCCGACCAAAAAAGAGTAACGGAACGGGCGGGCCGCGCGCGAACCTAATTGCCTTCGGTATCATTGAACCGGAGGGACAAGAAAACTGCAGGAACGTAAACTTTGGGAGGTCCGCGCGGATGTCTTGGATCGGCGCCCGGCCCTGGCTCGCTGGCGAGAGCAGCGCGGCAGGAGCGGCGCGGGAGGCGCCGCCAGGGGAGACCTAGCGCCGATGCAAGAAATCCGAGCGGGCCTCCCAAAAGTTCATGTTTATGCCGCGCTTCCTTCCTCGAACGACTAAACCAAAGCGCTCCACTACTCGCAACGTAACTACTCGCAAACGGCTTGGATCCGCCGCCGGACATTTGCGATCCATTACATAGAGGAAGAAACGTGTTTTTTCTGACGCTTGCGAATAGGAGCTTGGCGAGTAGTGGAACGCGCTCCATGAACGACTGACGGTGTTCACCCGCCGACTCGGGGAGGCCGGAGGGGGCGGCAGCGCTGCTCGGATGACAGAGGGTATGGCCATAGCTCTGACCAGCAGGAGGGGCTCGAAGCGCCAGGGCAGGTCGTCCATCCAGACCTGGGCGACGACCACGGAAGACAGACGACGGACAACGGACGACGGACGACGGACGACGACGACGACGACGACGACGACGACGACGACGACGACGACGACGACGACGACGACGGACGACGGACGACGACGACGACGACGACGACGACGACGACGACGACGACGACGACGATCCTTCGACTCCACATGCCACCCACTTTCGCGCACCGCGATGCGCGAGGCGCGAGGAGCGGTTGGTCTTCGCGCCCTCGCGAGGCCGCCTTGGAGGAAGGGCAGCTCTCTGGCCGAGGCCGCCACGCGCGAAGCACCATCACCTTCGCGCCCGTGGCGGGAGAGTTGGGGGCCCTTTGGGCACTGTGCCTCCCTCCCTCGCTCCGTCGCCAGGGCAGAACCTGCTGGCCACGCCAGAGATCGACGCTCGAGAGGCCACATCCCAACAGCGCGCAGACCGTTGATTCCTGAGAGTTGGCACGCCCGAAATGGTACGGAGAACGTGGGTACAGTGCCCAACGGAACATGTAGTCTGAAACCGACAGCAGCCACCGTTGGGCAGGCGGCTCTGCCTGAAATGGACAGCGATCGAGGCGACACCGAAAGCGAGTCCAGTTCGAAATGGACAGGATCTGCTGTCGATCTGCATCACCCTTATTTCCTTACACATTCAGATCCTGCAAAGAGGGTCTCTGAAGATCACCCTCGAGTCTGGCTCAACGAAGACAGCGCTGTCCGATGCGCCTGCTGTCTCGGCACGTGCGGGGCGGAGATGCCGCACAATGACACGGCAGAGCGCGAGGGATGGGCACGGGGTGAGAGGCCCAAGCGGCCGATGCGCCAGCGCAGGATCGGGACAGGGCCTATGTGTCCCCTTGTCCGTTCTCACGACGGTTCGCCTGGGCATCGTTTCTGAGTGTGCTGGTGCGGACACGCGAAACGTCAATAATTCCGTCAATGTAGCGCCAGCTGCGTGCTCGAAATATGTAGCACCAGAACAATCGCGCGCGCTTCGCGCGCGCTCAGGTTTAGGGCTCCCTGGCCAGGCCCATCCTGAATCCAGCAGCGGTGTATGCGCCACACCATCCTAGCTTGGCCAGAAGGCAGCATACACAGCCCCTGCAGCCCAGGAAGGGCCCAGCCAGGGGGCCGTGGATCTACATCGATCTCGTCGCCCGAAGGGTCTCGCAAGCCCCGGCCGCTGACAAGCTAAGGGTACACCTCGAGCGCCGCTGCCGTCCACCGTCCAAAAGGGCGCCCAGGAGGTCGAGGGGCTGGGCGGGCGTGCGCGCCTCTGAGGGGGAACGGCAGGGGGGGGGCGGGCCGAGGGGGGGGGGGCAGGGGCAAGGGGGAAGGAGCGTCGACAGGGAAACCGTGGCACACCGCCGACAGATCGGCGATAGGCGCCCGACAAGGAATCGGCACGCCCTGTGGGCCGTCGGGCCCCTGTCGGCGATCAGTGGGCGGTGGGAGGTCGATGCATTCCCCCGTGAGCCCATCCCTGCCCTAATGTTGCATCTGAGCCTCCTGTCCAGCCATGGTAGGCTTTTGGCGGGAGGCAGCCGCGTGGCTCGAGCGGCAACGCGGGGTGGAGAAGCTCTTGTCCGCTGTTGGTTGTCCTTACCATGGGCCTGATCCCGCACCTCCTGAGAGAATTGCGCTGCCGGGCGTCGATGCGGCTCTGGTGCGATGTTCCCCGTGGAAACGCACTGGCTCATACCCCTCTCCCAGGGCCAGGGCCTCCACCAACAATCAGACATCCACTCCAGAAGCAAAACTAAATGCATCGAGTGATCCCCACCCGAAAACGCGGGACGGAATCTCCAGGGAGCACTGGGACCCATGGAGCCTGGCAGCCGCGGTATGTAGTCGTCGCTCCTCGAAGACGCGAGGCGAGAAACCCAGGAAGCACCGGGATCCTTGGGGCCCGGCGGCCACGGTATGCAGGGTGTGCGAGGTGGATTGGGAACTCTTAGAGGGAGAAACAAGAGTATAAACATTAACGTTCGGACATCTGCGCGGCTTCCTTGGATCGGCGCTGGGCCCCGCTGCATGACTCGCGGAGCGCGCCAGGGGCGGAGCTGGAGGAGCCGCCAGGGGGGGGGGGGCCCAGCGCGGACCCAGGAAATCCAGCAAAGAGCTTCGAAAGTGCATGCATATGCAGTTTTTTCCCTGGTGTGTGCGGCGGGTCGACAGCTCTCTTCTCTAAATCCAGCAACCCCAACCTGTCGGGTGGGAAACAACCCGACCTGGGGCTGTCGGAACACCCCAGCGCCGCCTGCGGCGCCGACCCTGGGGCGCACCGCGCCCCAGGGATGAGGTGTCGAGACCGCCCCAGGCTGCTCGGGGGCCTGTGGAGGCAAGCTGGGAAACCTGTGGGGGGGCCTGTTGAGGCCAGCTAGGCCCCAGATGCGTAAAGGTTGCAACAGACGGCTCCAAGACAACCCAAGAGGACTAAGGCAGCGCCAAGACGAGGGCCACATTCTGCAAGCCCCCCACCCTCTGCCCATGTAACCGTTGGACACCTTGAAGACGAATGTGCGCGGCGATAAGGCGAGAGCCATATTTAGAAAACAACCCCCCTCCAACCATGGAACTGTAAAAATCAAGCTTCGGGGTTATACACGGGAAGTCTCAGGCGAAACGCCTGGCCCGCCCCACCGTTGGTCAGACGAGGAAGAGTTCACAAGGGCAAGAAATTGATGAGGAGAAGGGGAATTGGAGAGAGGAGGAGAGAGGAGGAGAAGGAGGGAGGGGAGGGGTGGGGCGAGGAGGAGAAAGAACGACGAGGCAGCAGAGAGATGGAGTGAGGGGGGAAGGAGAGGGAGAGAGGAGGACAGGAGGAGGAGGAGGAGGAGGGACGAGAA